GAGTGACTTGATGAACTGGGACGGGACCCCTGGGTTAGACAGATCACACTACAACGGTGGTTGGGTGGCTTTTGCAGTGAGATGTTCCAGTGAATGAGTTAACGCTCTTGATTAATCACTTTCTGATGTTGAGACGGCCAGCATTATTTTTGTCATGCATGGTTTTAAGTAGTCGTTGGTGGGCCACTTATTTTGCTTTAGGTATTTTTGTTTTATGTTTTGCTGTTTTTACATCTCTTACAGGTTTTCATGGTATTTAGTTTTTACTTTTGGTAGTTTTTAGAGCTTGGCCTTTTTCTTTCAGCTTTTACCTTCTCTCTTCTTTCAGAGTTAGATTCTTTTATTGCTAATCGCCAGCTCGCCTAGTTAGTTTTACTGTGGCTCACTTAGTTTAGGATGTTTTAATTTATTTTGTATTAACCCTTTTATCCCCAGCCAGTTCACTTTAGGTGGTACCGTGTCTTTGCTTTGTGCCGTGTCTTTGCTTTGGGTAGAGGTTGAAGACCGCGACGCGCGTAGAGAGAGGAAAATAGACACCGCCATCTTATAGAGCGGGAAAAATAGAAGGGGACAGCGTATAGTTTAAGATGCACCGGCCTTATAGTCATCGCTAAATAACGAAAATATAACGCGCAGCCGCCTTTCAAATTCAAAGTCGATGAGCTTGTTTACCTTGCTAGGAAAAACACGACACTGACCCACGAACGCATTTTTGCGTTCGCGAACTAGTCCGTGTATCATTACGCGCTTGTCAAAACGATATTTGGCTAATTATCTGTGTCTGCTGGTACGCATTTATACCTTTAAAGTCTTTTAGTAATGTTATTATACTTCATTTGCATATTTTTATATTTATCTATACCCTCATATCGAATCCTGCGCATCGAGTGTTTCACACTTTCTTATGCCAGCCACAGGTTGACAGCTCACCATACCGCTCATTTCGAGATTGAAAGCCTGTGAGAAATGTTGCGTTTCCAGTGTTGTGTTAATTCTGGGTTCTGGGTCCTTTTTAAGACCTTTACAGTGGCATCGAAAAATTATTAGACTTCAGTAACCATCCCAGTTTTATATCAGCCCACCAAGAGCTCCAAAGGACGAAAAAGGTGATTAAAATCGAAGCAATCCCAACAGTACAAAGAAACGAAAGTTTCACGTTTCCGGATATAAAGGTATTTGGTTTATTATTTTACGGTGTGAATGCAGCTGTCTTGCCGTACATACTGTGGTGGAGAGAATGTTTCTTGGGGGGTGTTGGGGGGCTTGCCCCCCATCAACCCTCCCCTCGGGCAGTGCCCGAAGGGCACGCCTAGTCACGGCAATTTATATTGATATATTAGGTTGGTTTATTGGTCAATACGTTTTTGGGGGTTGGAACGTGTGAATTCCCGTAGAGTTTTACCGAAATGTGGGTTGGGTTCCTGTAGAGTTTTTGATTTATTTCGCGTCAGTCCGTAAACTTTCAAAGATGGCTGTTACATCTGTAGAGTTTCATTGGCCGATTTCATTAAGCGCTTTTTGTGCTAGTTTTACGCGTTTTTGATCGTTATTCTTCTTATTTAAGCTTGTTTTACCCCATAATTTCCCTGAAATACTTCATGCCCTCCCCTGTTAACGGGACTATCAAATCAAGATCGTCGATGGAGAAATGGTACTCGATCTCCTGAACGACTCATTCGCAAAAGAAACAACGCCGAAAATCGATGAAATCATAGGATTTCATGCAGAAAAACATCATTTTTTTCGACTTAGTCTCTAAGAGGGTGCGTCGCTCTCTGTAACAATTACCGATCACAGAAATAACCATGTTTGACCAGATCATGGAGATCAACTCCCTAGTCGCAGAACTACAGGAGTACAAGGAGCAGAATGATGCCTGACTACAGCGTCATGAAGATGCTCTTGAACATCGCATGCAGGAAGGCACTCTAGATCAAGAACAACCAGCAGACAGTAACCTCCATCAGCCACAGGAGTTCAGCAACTCCGTCGCCAGCTGGAGGAACGCAACAGGGAACTGGAGGAGACCCGCCTTCAACTACTGTGGATGAACGCTGCGCCCGTGCTTGTGGTACATACCCGAGAACAGGAATGGAACAGCTAGAGGAATGGAACAGGGAGCTGACTGAGGCCCGCCAACGACTACATGGGTCAGGTGTTGCACCTGCACCCATGGAATGTGCCCAAGACCGAGAGATTCAAGAGCTTCATCGTCAACTTCAGCAGCGGGACCTGGAGATAGCAGAGGTCTGCTGTCTCGTCCCCTAAGTACAACATACCATGACTAGGTGTCAAGACCACCATCAGCAGCCTCCTGTCATTAATGGAAGCCGCTCTCCTCAGCCTCTTCCTCGGAGCCGCCCCCACACGCCAGTACCAGAGCAGCAGCTGTATCCTGAATGTCAACACACGTATGAACCACTAACATCCCTGCTGCAGCAGTTCCGGCCTAGGTCTTCGCCTCAGCGTCCCCAGTCAGCACATCCCTCGTCTCAGTTGTCTGGCACACCATTCTTCTATGTGTTCAAGAAGGAGACTGTCCTGCACTTCATGGGGGATACTTCTGCCTCACAGCCGCTCAAAAAGAACCAAGCAATAGAGAGTTGGATTCGGACAATTGAGAACATTGTGAAGCCAGCCACATCAGAGATGTTCATTCAGGCAGCACGGGTAAACTGCAGAGGTTCAGCCGAGCTAATCATTAATTCCCCTCTCTGTGACTCGATCACAGAATGGGACACATTCAAGGCAGCTCTCCATAGTAAGTTCCGAGGTACCTACACCTCCTCGGACTTCTACAAGGTTCTATATGACATACGGATGACACCATGCCAGGCACCAATGGACTTCTTTTTGCAGTTGGAAGGACACGTCTACCAGGGATACAGGGATCACCGTGAGGTCATTGGTGATCCATCCGAACTAGTGAAGAGGGTCTTCCTGAGTGGCATCCCCGCATGGCTCCAAGACTTCCTCTCTGTTAAAGATGGTAGCCCAACCCAGATAGCCGAAACAGCACAACGCATCTGGAATTCCCGCGATGGCATAAGGCATAGTGATACTTCACCTGCAGAGGAAAATCCCTACCACCCTAATCGCCCTCCACGGGGTCGGGATTTGTATGCTATGCCGGTAGCTGCTGAGCGTTCCAGTCCATCTTATCATCGATCACCTGTCAGGGAGAGGTGGTGTGAGCATCATCGGGTAAGGACTCACGGTACATCTGAGTGCAGAGCCAGGGCTGAGATCCTAGATCCACAGTCTCTGCGACGACGATGCTACCATTGCAGAGGTCCAGGACATTTGGTGAGAGATTGCCCCTTTTGTGAGCGCCAGGGTGACCAAGCTCCAGGAATCGCTGGTAGGTTCGATCCAAGGAGCACCTCACGTGGAGACATTACCCCTCAAGAACGGAATGGCAGTGACAGGGCCTACCGGATGGCCAGTTGCGGAACTCAATGTTAGTGGTTCTACAGTCCGTTGCTTTATTGATACAGGATCCAAAGCGACAATTATTAAACCCCAAGCTCTCAAGCAGATTGATCCTCATAACTACGTATCTCAGAGGAAGACTCAGTATTCTGCGAGGCGTGTCTGGTCAACCAATCAACACCCTGATTGAGGTAACCCTTGTTTTCTGCCTTAACTCAGACCTTGAAATGCACCATACGGTCACTGTTTGTGATGTAAGATTTCCTGGAGACATACTCCTGGGGATGAACTTTTTGAGAAGAACCACCTTTAGCCTGTCCTCTTGGTCCCGGGATGACAGTGCCTGCCTGACTTTAGAAGGCCAGGAGTTTCATGTGAATTATACTGATGCCCAATCCCTGCAGCCGAGTGTAGTGAGAGTGACCACACCAGATGTTCCAGAGAATGCTGAAGAGAGTCGCTTTTCCCTGTCTCGCTTGTCACCACCCGACCTCTCTTCTGCTGTGCACCTTTACAGAACCACCGAGCTTCCACCACACAGTGGGCGTTTCTTGGAGGGTGTAGGTCTTGCTCTGATGATGGGGATGTTTTGTTTACACCACAAGTAACAGCTGTGTGCATATCACCGTGTGTGCTGAGTACTGTTTGTAGACGGCGATGCCCTGTGTGGGCAGTCAGCACAACAAGGCCAATTCGATTAACACAGGGTACATGTTTGAGGATGGTATCTGCTGTTGAGGCTGTTTTTACGGCAGAAACCTCAGCCTCTGAGACTTCCGACTACAATTCCTGCAACTCTGTTTGTCCAGATTTGAGTGATGACCAAAGGGAAGATGAGGATTTCCAGTGGGAGGAAGACCAGTTTGACAGAACCTTTGGAATAGAGGATTTTGGTTATGGCAGCACTGCCACTGATGTTGCTGATGATCTTCCGCCATCACAAGCCCTTGCCGCAATCGAAGCTGCTAATATCCCAGATTACCCATTGCCCTTAAAGACTGAAAACCAGATGCCTGATCTGGATCACTTAGGAGAAGATCAACGCCAGGAGTTGCAGAGTTTTGTGTGTAGCTACAGTACCCTTTTTGATGGAGGTGAGGATGCTGTGGGCCACATCCCAGGCATTCAGCACAGGATTGATACAGGGCAAGCAACACCTGTATGTACCTGCCAGTGGCGTCTTCCGCAAGCAACCCGTCAAACAGTACGCAAGCAGTGTGATGCCATACTCAAGAATGGTGTCACTGAATCTTCAACTTCACCATGGTTGAGCCCTGTTGTCCTGGTGAAGAAGAAAGACGGGTCACTTAGGTTCTGTGTGGATTACAGGAACTTGAATGCAGTAACAACAGTGGATAGGTTCCCTCTGCCAAGAATTGATGAGCTTATTGATGAATTAGGCCCATCCGAAACGTTCACCACTCTGGATGCAAGGACAGCATATTGGAGTGTCGAGGTTCATCCTGAAGACAGGTCCCAAGACAGCATTTAGCGATGGCTATAGGCTTTTTCAGTTTCGGAGGCTACCCTTTGGCCTCAGTACTGCACCTACCACTTTCCAGAGGACAATGAATTTTGTATTGTCATCTGTTCTTGGACACCACACCTTAGCGTACTTGGATGTGGTTGTGTACTCCAGGGGCTTCTCGCAACACTTGAAAGATCTAGAAGAAACCCTGCAGCTGCTGGCAGCAGCCGGATTGAAGCTGAACATAGAGAAGTGCAAGTTTGCTGCAACCACAATCAACTTTCTGGGTTTCACCATATCTCCCGGTGTATCACCTCATCAAGATGAAGTTGCAGCTATTTTAGCAACACTTGCACCGCGAACTGTTAAGGAAGTCCGTTGATTTTTGGGTGCTACAGGCTTTTTTAGGAAGCATATAGAAGGCTACGCAACCAGCGCAGCTCCACTTCACCTCCTCTTGAAAGGCCAGAGTTGGAAGTGGGTAATAGACCAACAACAAGCATTGGAAGAACTGAAAAAGCGTCTGGCATTAACTCCAATTCTGCGACAGCCAGACTTCACGCAACCCTTTGAGCTACACACAGATGCAAGTAGTATCACTTTGGGAGCAGCTTTAATCCAACGAGATCACGATGGTACACCGCATGCTATTGCATACTATAATAGGAAACTACGCGACCCTGAAACTCGTTATCCAGCCACTGACTCTGAGTCATTAGCGGTTGTTAGGGTCTTTGATTCGTATTTATATGGCCGCAAGTTTTTGATCTACACAGACCATCATCCCCTTGTATACATATTTAAACATCAAACAAAATCACCACGGATGACCAGGTACGCCCATGATCTTTCTTATTACGACTTCGAGATCAGGTAGAAAGAGGGGCCCACCAACTACGTCCCTGACTTGCTGTCGCGACAAATTGCTGCCATAGATGTTCGGGGAGTTGTCGTCACAAGAACTTGCTCTGGAGCAATGCCAGGATCCTGCACTTCAAGATATCTTATCGTATCTAAGTGATGGCACTGTACCAAAGAAAAAGCCTCCAGTTTCCCTCTGACTTCGAGATGAAAGATGGGGTCCTGTACCGGCTGTTACACCTGCCAGATAAGATTGTTTACCAGCTGTGTGTTCCGGAAAGATTGCGTGACTCGGCATTGAAAGCGGCTCATACTCCACTTCTAGCAGTGTACCCCGGTATACATCGGACATATGAGAACATGTTTTACTGGCCCAATATGCTACGTGATGTCCGTCAGTATGTTGAACATTGCCTTATGTGTCAGCAGTCAAGAGGGGTCGCCCAACGTGTTCCAACGGCTGATGCACCTCTAGCTCTTTATCCACTAGAACGTGTGTCATTGGACATTCTCGACCTGTGCCAGGCACCCATGAGATGGGCATTAACTGTCTTAGACCAACATTCTCGGTTCATCCAGATCATCCCACTCCGAGATATAACAGCCTCTAGGGTACATCATGCCTTCCTTGACCATTGGATAACATACTTTGGTCCACCTCGCGTCATCCAGACTAGTAATGGCCAGCAGTTCACTTCTAACCTGTTTGCCGAGCTAGTGGATATGTTACGAGCTTCACACCACTTCACCATCCGATATCACCCCCAGGCCAATGGACTTGTGGAATGCGCCAACCGTGTTGTCAAGCCAGCTGTACGATCGGTGGTAGGAGATCGACCTAGGGACTGGCACAAGTTTATACCTGAACTGCGACTCGCCCTTAATTCCGCAATCCATCGTACGACAGGGGAACAATCCCTCTACCTCCTACATGCATACTTTCCTGTAGGTCTCACAAATGATGCAGTCTTCAGTGATAACAGTGCATTCCAAGGAAGACTCAAGGGCAGCTGTGATGGCTTCCAGGGCTTCCCACAAAACTAATGAGAGGGCATGCAACAAGCGAGCCAAAGGGACCTTTGCTCCTGAAGAAGGGAACCTTGTTTGGTATAAGGAGATGGTGCCACGTCCCCTGGGTCCTAGATGGCTAGGGCCTGCCCGGATCTCTAAAAGATTTGGTCCAGTGTCGTTTGAGGTGCAACATCTGGACTCTGGCAAGGTTATGAGGGCTCACTTTAATCATTTACGCCCTTATCACCCACCACAAGAGTTGTTGTAGCCTGATGACAATATTGATCCAGATGAAGGGGAAGAGGAAGAGGCGCCTTCTGCACCTGATGATCCTTGGGTGGCCATCCTCACAACCTGTGTGCGTGATTTCATAACCCGTGAGCCAGCGACAATCAACGGGGATGAAGACAACTAGAGACCTTGGTCCAGTACGCCCAGGCTATGTGCCATTCTGGATCAAGGATTGCTGTTACTTCGATGTGCTAGGGACCTTGGTCCAGTATGCCCAGGCTATGTGCCATGCTGGATCAAGGATTGCTGTTACTTCGATGCGCTAGGGACCTTGGTCCAGTACGCCCAGGCTATGTGCCATGCTGGATCAAGGATTGCTGTTACTTTGATGCGCTAGGGACCTTGGTCCAGTATGCCCAGGCTATTTGCCATGCTGGATCAAGGATTGCTGTTACTTTGATGCACTAGGGACCTTGTCCAGAGGCATTGTGCCCATGCTGGATCAAGCTCGTTTGACTGTTACTTCGATGCGCTAGGGACCTTGGATCCAGTACGCCAGGCTATTGCCATGCTGGATCAGGGATTGCTGTTACTTTGATTGCCTAGGGCCTTGGTCAGTGCCCGGCTATTTGCCATGCTGGATCAAGGATTGCTATTACTTCAATGCGCTAGGGACCTTGGTCCAGTACACCCAGGCTATGTGCCATGCTGGATCAAGGATTGCTGTTACCTGTGTACTAGGGACCTTGAATTGGTACGACCAGGCTTTGTGCCATGCCAGTCAAGGATTGCTGTTAGCTGTGTGCTGTAGGGACCTTGGATTGGTACGATCAGGCTTTGTGCCATGCCGACCAAGGATTGCTGTTAGTTCAACTAACTAGGGAGCTTGGTTCCAGTGCGGCCTTGGCTGTGTACCACACTGGATCAAGCAAGGCTGTTAGCTGTGTGCTAGGGAGCTTGGACTCAGTGCGCCTTGGCCGGGTGCCATGCTGGTTCAAGTGCTACTGTTAGCCTGCTGTAGGGACTCTATTGTCAGTGTGCACTTGGCTGTGTGCCACACTGCAGTAGAGATTGCTGTTCATCTGTTGTTCCACTGCATCACGTCGTGTCCTGGGAGTGTTGAGACCGTACAGATGCAACAGATGTTAATGCTCCTGATTTTTGTTTTATGGGGATGGGATTTTTATTTAATATTACTGTTCTTTTATGATCACCTTTGTGTGTGTCAGGACTCAGGCTTGCTTTTATCTTCCAGGTCTCCGCTGTTCGCTTCGACCCAGAGCGGGGGAGGAATTCTGTAAGGTGGTCTTGGATGCTGCATCTCATCCTCTCCGCTCTCCCACTCTGCCGTGTTGGAGGATTGTCTCACATGTCTCACCTCGGATTTGGGTTGTTTTTCTTGATTTTATTTACTTTTTTTTATTTTAGTTTCCCTTTTTTTGTGTTTTCTCAGAGCAATTTTTATTTGATTTAACAACAAGACATTTTTATGACCCTTTTATCATCAGCTTTTATTCATTTTAGTTTTTTATTAACATTCAGTAAAGTTTAAGGTCTCTCCTTTACTTAGTTTTAATTTTAAGTTGTTGGGGAAGCATTTTTACGTACAGTGTTTATTTTGTTCTTTTTAGTTATTGTATTTCTTTGTTTATGATTTCTATTTTATCACTTTTAGTTTGTTTTATTCATTTTTGT